TTTTTATTGTTTCACATCTGATGATTTTGTTCATACCTGCTCTATTCATTATGCTTACACATAATGTAATATAGTATCATGATGCTGCATTACATACAATTTTATTCCTTCTGATCATGAAATTGCTACTTTTTTCTAGTTCCTCACTAATGAGTGAATTTCGCACATATTATTTTTGGTAATGTAAAGAACTTAATGATAGGAACTTTATTGTGTGTGGTCATTTAGAATCAGAATAAATTACGTACAGCCGACACCGAGGCTGATGACTTGTAGTTTTGTTTTGAATGGATATCTTGAATTAATTAACACTCTCGAAATATTTTCCATTCTTTTGAGGCTAAAATTTTCATAATCAACAATTGTTTCAGTTCATATGCTTATTTTTTGATGTAGCAAATTGTACAGTATTATATTGTCAACATGAGTATTATCTTTCTGTGTTTTAAGAACGAGACAATGAAGAGCATCTGTGGAGGTTGAAAAGTCTTTCAGAAAAAAAAATAATTGGATGAAAGTTGAGTAGATTTAAAAGGAATAATTTGATGGAGTAATGAACGCAACATTTCGTTTAGGATTATTTTTATATTTTTATCAGGTAGGTTTCTAATTGAGTCTAGTTCTGCACTGGAGTAAAGCAACTATGATTGGATGTAAAATGAAGAAGAGAAAAAATTTGATGGGGGTTGGGGGAGGGGGGGGGGAGGGGGGTTAATATATTAATAAAAAATAAAGATCATTAAACTATGCCTTGTTGAAAAACCATAAACACCAGAAAACATTCAACAGCTCAATTTAAATTTTATTGACAAAAAACCTTTTGTAATTCAAAATATCATGTATTAAATGTTTACTGGTGTTTACCATGAATTTGTTGAGATTATTTTACATTACCATTAGCAGATTGCCATTGACCTAACTGGCCTTGTACTGATTATGGCATCAAATGTGATTAAACTTTGAGTAAATATTCATTTTTTATAGCATATCATGAGTGAGAATTTTTTGGGAAATACCCTTCAAATAAATTTTTAATAGGTTCACGTAATACATAAAAATTAAATTTGATAAGAATTCTAATGCCGATCATTAAAGACAGTCTGACAATAAAATAATAAGCCTCTTGCTGAATATATGCTGTTCAAGAAAAACAAGAAGAATTAAATACTCTTTAAAGAACTAGAAGAAAATAATTTCTTTTCTTAATGAGAGTGAAAATGATGACAACAGAAAAGAAAGAAACTTTAGCATAAATATCTCATATCATATCATCTCATGCATATCATACACAATTTTGAACAAAGACATTAGTTACACTTGACATTATGTGATTACTTTTGATTACGATTATGATGATATGACATTACTCCGTCCATAAACGCACTATGGGCCAGAAATCGAAAACTTTTCCGAAAATTATTTTTTTAGTCTAAATGATAGCTCTTTCATTCCCATTTATGAAAATACTTACAAAAGTGGCCAATTCAGCCTAAGTTCCGAGTTATGGCTTTTCAAATTTTTGATTAAGAGCATTTTCTCGCCCCACAAAAATTGTCACTACTTTTCATTAGATTGATGAAACTCTTTCAATTTTTTTTTTATTTGGTAGCTTAAAATAAGAGCTTTATTTTAGGATAGTAAACATTTAATTATGCATCTTTTAACTTTATGAATTTTAAGGTTTTTTCAAAAAAGCACGTGTTCAGTATGATTATGTTCGTCTAGGACTTCACTTTTAAAATAAATGATGCTGAATCTTTTTTTATATTGTAGATATAAACAAGATCTACATTTTTTATTAAAATACTATAAAGTTTTAGTAGAGTTTTGCTGATGAAATTAAGTATTTTCTTCAAAAAAACTGCAATTTTTTGACATAAATTCCCATAACTTTTCAGGATAGCCCAAAGGAGTGGATTTTTTTTACATGCTTTGAAAGCTCTTTGGATATACTATCAGAATATATAATCAGCTTGAGTTCGGTTACTGAGACAATTTCGAGCAATTTGACTTTGAAGTGTGACCAGAAATACATTTCAAAACATAAAAATTGAAAATAAATTTTGTACGTTTTTCAAAATTTTAGTTTTTTGCTTTAGATCAATAGATCTCATCAAGGCGCATATTTTGAGTATAAATATGTCATAGTTTGAACAATTTTTATACTCAAATTTCAACAAAATCATTTTTATATATTTTTTCAACAAATTTTACTTATTTTTCAATTATTTTAAATCAAAACATATTTTAAATCTTCTGATTTTGATATTTTTTGAAATTTCTATGTTTTTATGTTAAATTGTCACTCCTAGAGCAACAATTCATAAATTTTTTTTACTTTAAGGTAATTTTTTTATAATTTTTTGCAAATTACACTCATTTTTCTTATCTTTTTTTATCAAATTTTATTTTATGATAATTCTAAATATTGAAATTTAATGTAATATGCATAAAAATTCTCTTAAATATTTAAAGATCATATTTTATCCAATTAACGTAGGAATAAAGCTGGAATGAGCAAAGCTTTGATATGTTCCTTTAATCTGAAGGTAATTTTCCTTTCGATTCAGAACATATAAGCATCCAATCATTTATTTTTAATAAATTTCGGTAAACATACTTATTTCCATGCAATTGTAAAGCATAAACTATCACCACGAACTATTAAAATTAAAGACCTATAATGAAAATAGTTTTTAAAAAGGAAAACGCTATCAACCATTTTCCAATCTATCAAATTTATTGTGACAATTTTTATCCAATGTTGAATGGTTCCTTATAGTTTTTTACCATATTTCATTGATTTTTCAAATTTTTGTCTTTGTATATACTTTTTTTACTGATCTGTGGGCGCAACGTGATACGTTTCAGATCCGTTCTGACAATTTATCATTATAAGGTAATCTTGTAGCTCTCGTTACTATTTCTCCCGCTACACTTCAAGTTCCTCATCCGTTCCTTAATCCAAATATCGCATGGCTTGATCTCGTACATTAAGCAGTCGAAGTATCTAAACTTCTGAAAAAGAACAAATTTGGAAATGGCTGGATTGGAACCGACGACCTTCGAGTTACCATACCAAATTTGAGCCAATCGCCTTACTTATTTGACCAGCGAGGCACTTAAACCCTTATACATAGACAAAAATAGATTCAAGAACCATCATTTAGTTTTGATAAATTTCGAAACGATGCAAACTTTTCAAACTTTTGTATATATACTTTATATATTTCATACTGGTAAATTCCAGTCACCATTAGTGAGTCCAGTCAGATTATAAATATTGAGCTTTCAACTTCCGAACCTGAAAGGCAGTTTATGCTTTACAATTGCATGGAAATAAGTATGTTTACCGAAATTTATTAAAAATAAATGATTGGATGCTTATATGTTCTGAATCGAAAGGAAAATTACCTTCAGATTAAAGGAACATATCAAAGCTTTGCTCATTCCAGCTTTATTCCTACGTTAATTGGATAAAATATGATCTTTAAATATTTAAGAGAATTTTTATGCATATTACATTAAATTTCAATATTTAGAATTATCATAAAATAAAATTTGATAAAAAAAGATAAGAAAAATGAGTGTAATTTGCAAAAAATTATAAAAAAATTATCTTAAAGTAAAAAAAAATTATGAATTGTTGCTCTAGGAGTGACAATTTAACATAAAAACATAGAAATTTCAAAAAATATCAAAATCAGAAGATTTAAAATATGTTTTGATTTAAAATAATTGAAAAATAAGTAAAATTTGTTGAAAAAATATATAAAAATGATTTTGTTGAAATTTGAGTATAAAAATTGTTCAAACTATGACATATTTATACTCAAAATATGCGCCTTGATGAGATCTATTGATCTAAAGCAAAAAACTAAAATTTTGAAAAACGTACAAAATTTATTTTCAATTTTTATGTTTTGAAATGTATTTCTGGTCACACTTCAAAGTCAAATTGCTCGAGATTGTCTCAGTAACCGAACTCAAGCTGATTATATATTCTGATAGTATATCTAAAGAGCTTTCAAAGCATGTAAAAAAAATCCACTCCTTTGGGCTATCCTGAAAAGTTATGGGAATTTATGTCAAAAAATTGCAGTTTTTTTGAAGAAAATACTTAATTTCATCAGCAAAACTCTACTAAAACTTTATAGTATTTTAATAAAAGTTGTAGATCTTGTTTATATCTACAATATAAAAAAAGATTCAGCATCATTTATTTTAAGAGTGAAGTCCTAGACGAACATAATCATACTGAACACGTGCTTTTTTGAAAAAACCTTAAAATTCATAAAGTTAAAAGATGCATAATTAAATGTTTACTATCCTAAAATAAAGCTCTTATTTTAAGCTACCAAATAAAAAAAAATTGAAAGAGTTTCATCAATCTAATGAAAAGTAGTGACAATTTTTGTGGGGCGAGAAAATGCTCTTAATCAAAAATTTGAAAAGCCATAACTCGGAACTTAGGCTGAATTGGCCACTTTTGTAAGTATTTTCATAAATGGGAATGAAAGAGCTATCATTTAGACTAAAAAAATAATTTTCGGAAAAGTTTTCGATTTCTGGCCCATAGTGAAACGTTTGTGTTTGAAATAAAAGTGAGCGAAAAAAAATTGTGCAGAAAATCAAGCAATATGCACAATTTAATTTCATTGCCGGTCTGGTAACTCTATTTTCGTTCATTTGTGTATATACACATACAGATAAAATTTACCTTAGCTTAAGCCAACTTCTTTTGTGTATCATGTAGCGACAGACGCCCAGACAGATGTAAAATCACAACAACAAAAATGTTTTCAGATTTCGCGTTTCGTTTCCCCTCCACAGAAATAAATAAAATATAACTGACGACCCTAGTTGAGCAAATTAAGCATTCTCAGTTGAACTTTCGCCGTGATCAGGTCGGAAAAATAATTTTTTAAAAAGAACCCAACAATTGGTGGATTCGGTTCTAGATAAATAATAAAAAGAATAATTATTTTTTTAAAAGTAACAAAAATACAAATAAAATTATAAAAATGAAATTCTTTATCTGTGGAGTTTTGATCAGTGCTGTTGCATTATTGTGCGTTTATGCCGATGATGATAAGAAAGAAGAAATCAAAGTCTACAAACGATTGATCCCAGCTGATGTTCTTCGTGGTAAGTTCAAGAATTTTTTGTGAGAATAAAATCAATTTGTGGGAGTTGAAAAGAAATGAGTTTAAGTGGATTATTGTGATAAAGAATTGAGTTGAGTATGGGTTTTTTATTAATTGTAGTTCCAAACTTTATAAAATAACTTTCTGGATACATAGAAATTTTGAATAAGGAAATGTTAAATTAAATTAATTAAAATAGTAGAAATGGCTTAAAAAAGTACATAATTTAAAAATGTTTTTTTATATAATATACAAGAAATATGATTACTGTAAAATAAACCTTAATTCTAGAATTTACTTACTCCATACTACAACAAGTTTCCTAAAACCAGTTCAAAACTTACTAATATCTCCTTAAAATTGCATCATTCCATAATTTAACTCCCATAAGTCCATTCAAATCAATAAGAAGCGAGAAAAAAAATTCTAAGGTCAGGAAATGGCAAATTATGGACGCAAAATGATATCATACCCTCACGACAATAAAAAGTCATGTAGAAGCATGAATGGAGATTTATATTCGGAAGGAATTCCACCATAATGATGATGTTAAAATAAAGATAATTCGTGAATGAATTTCGTTCAGTTCTATTATCATCCCAGCATAATATTGCGATAATATCTCAGTGACTATCTCACTGTTCGTGACTATGTTTTTGTTTGTAAGAATTGAATGTACGCTATGGCATCATTAAATTTAATTTGATTTAATTTAATTCAATTTAGGAATTTCAATTCTTTTCTATTTACATTTTTTTTTAATACGTGGAAGTGACACAAAGATATTCATTCTCAAGATTTATAAAAAACCTCAATGCTGTTGCTTATTTTTTTGCCCTACGTGAACAGCAAAATGTTCAATTATTGTTGGATAAAGAATTATGTAACATTGAGTATGTGCAGTCGCGCTGACAATTGGCAACTTTGTCGTAAAGCTTGTTGTCATTGCCAATGCACATGTGTTCGTGCAGTTGAAAGTGAAAACTGCTATCGTGTTTGTATGCTTATGTATGCTCATTAAAGGGCACTGAAATTCAACAAAAATTTCTAGACCGCTACAATGCAGCAGCCTAACTCAATAATTATCAATATTGTGTCATGCATAAATATTATGCTGTAAAAGTTTATGTTTCAAGTTTAAAAATTCATTGGCTGGGAAAATTACATAATATTAATTAATTAAAATTATACTATCGTGTATTTAATGCGGTTATTAACGTGTGTTTGACGAATATTAGCACAATTTTATGAGCACATATGTGAACTAATAGCTATTAGAAGTAGGAATAAATTAATTTTAATTTTAAGATTGATTAAATTTAAATTGTTCTAATAAAAGCTGTATTAATATTTATGGAAATTAGCAATTAAAGGGAATAAATTGAGCATAAGAATATTAAATCACATTTAATATTGTGTCAGGAAAATTAAAGGAAGTACGAATATATAGAATCAATGAATGTAATTTATCATGACGTAAAACGAGTAAATTACGGAAGCTGTGCTGCAACGTTAGTTTTATTTTAGTTGTTAGATCTGGCTATGATTCAATTTGTGTTAAAACTAATAATTAATATCGAACAAATTGCTTGAAACCATCAGAACTTTCTGTAAAATGAACAATTGTATCCTATCGATCGCCCACTTGTTATGAACATTGTTTGCATAGTTATTTCCAGGAGAAATTTAAAGAGCTACAGCCCTTTAAATAGCTCTAAACCTATAAAACAATTTCTATGCATGAAAAAGTAATAATTATTTTTTCATCCATACTAGAACAAAAATCAATTAAAAAGTTTAAAACTCATACAAACTTTACATATATGCAAAATTTTGAACCAGATGCAGATAAAGCTTTTCAAACACCAATTATGGCTACACTTTAGAATTTTCAATGAAAATTATTCAAGCATTTAATGGGTATCAAGTAATTCATTAAAATTCGATATAGATTCAATTAATTCAGAACACCAGCAAATATTGCTTTGATTGTATATTTTGCTTGCTGTAGTAATTTTTCTATATAAAGCTATATTTGTGCAATAAATTCAAAATAATTTAAATATCAATTAATACATTTTCGGTAAATAGAAATGTAATTAATAAATCAATTTTGATTAATGGGAATGGAAAGCTATTAACGATAATAGCAGAGTATTCAATTACTTAAATATCCACCTTTTTAATCAAAATTTCAACAGAAACTTTAATTTTTATTTATTTTGGATGAAAATGAGTTCAATAAGTCCCTTTAAAAATTATTCTATACATCGTAAAAACTACAAAAGAACAGTCAGACAAAAGAGAATATATCCCATTTGTCTGAGCATTTCATTCATTGATTCATACGAAAAAAAAACGCTACGTACAATGACACAGAGCAACAGCAGTGAAACGTGTATACATTAAAGTATGTACAATCATTTAATTGAGTTCATGAGCTTTTCTAATTACTCTCACTGTTTAAATAAAAAATTGCGTGCGACAGAGAGTAACAAAAAAAAAAGGTAGAGAAACAAAAGAATAACCAGCTCATTGACAATGGAGCAAATGTCAAATGCATGAGCCAACAGAGGAAACGGAATTATGTTCTAATTAATTTCGGTAATTTTTTCTCTAATTTTTAAAATTACTCACAAATTAACGATAGATTTGATGACGAACTGAATTTTAGAGGTCGCAACCATGTTGAAAATTTGACTTCTGGTCAACTCGGAATCAATCATGCATGTGCAAAAAATCTGTCGAGCGTCAAAAGATGAATAAGTTTATCACTCAAATCGCTCAAAAAAGTTTTAACATTTTATATCTGTTAAACTACAAAGAAGCTTTAGAAAATTGATGGATGAAAAGAAGAAAACTTTCCAGCATGTTGAATTGTTATTGATTGAATGTTGTTTGCACAAATGTATATTTTCAAGTGTTGGAGAAATTTTGAAGCAAACAAACAAATAACTGAAATATTAGAATATTTATTGGCACAGCAAATCATCCGGAAATCTATAAATCTAATAGGGTGTGAGTTTTATGAGGGAAAAAATTGTTTTTGAGAGTTTCGAATGTGGAGGATGAGGAATTTGTTTGGAGAAGTTTAAACAGCTTCAGGCATGAGCATTTATGGTTTTGATGGGATTGCTTTTGATGGGTTTGATTTAAATTTTCATTATGAATTTACTATTTAATTTAAAATTTCTTAAATTTCTCTTAAAATTTCCCAAATTGCTTTTAAATAAACTATTAAGATTTAATTGCAAACAGACCAATAATAATCCAGTCTAAAGATCTAATTTTAACTTCAGCCTCCTGACTTCTTAAAGCACATGATTCACAGCTATAGTCGCAAATTCACTCCAAACTCAATCTAATATTATCCTTCATACTACAACAACTTGTGCTTGTAGCAAGAATCAGTTACATCCAGAGCTATAACTAATCTAATAAAAAATCTATTCAGCACCAAGTTGCAGTTCAATCATAGATCAAATCTACCAGATAAAACAACTTAAAGTTTTTCATTCTATTTTAATAAAGCTTGAATAATAAGAACTAGTGACGGAGCTAGTGCGATATTCTCAGACACATACTCAATTATTATGCATAAATTGATTTATATTTTTTCAACGATAATGTTGTGACATAGATGTAGACTCCATTCGATTTTAGAATATTTAGAAGGGAATTGACAAACTATTACGTACAAGTTGTTGTGGCTGTTGAGCAAAATAGAACCGAGTCATGAAATGGTCACGGTGTTGTCTCGAGAGACGTGATTATGAAATAAATTTATCTGGAAGGGGTTCTTAATGGTAAAATATTGCAACTTTTAAAAAATATTTTTTTATTTTTTTTCATATGAGTCATTGGCTGCGCGACTATATTTTCCATAAATTATCGACTAAAATTCAATATTACAACCATATCCGATGAACAAAGCACAATTACAGCAATTAACACCAATTACATTACAGCTCGGGACTCCCTGTTGATCTCAATTACTAATTCCAGTCCTTTTCTCTGTCGTAATTGCATTGCATGCATAAAACCCGACAAAAGTTGTTTTCTCAACTCTTCTAGAATAACTCATGTCAATCGAGACGTTTATAATGTGTCTAACTTACTTGCTGCTTTTGCTATCTTGTCGATTTGCATCCATAAATCATACTTTGGTTTTACTTTCAAGACCGAACATTTTCATGGTTGTATAATTTTTGCAAAACATAAAAACAAGAATGAAAATTGAAACTATTTTAAATCGATTGTGTCTCATGCAATTGCTTTAAATTGGCATCATTTGTCTTTGTGTATTTTTCTATCGTGTGCTTTTCTTGTTGCTTGGGAACCCTTAGAGGCAACATTAGCTCTTTTAAAAATTTATTTTATTTAATTCTTTAAAATTAAAGATCTTTCTAAAGTGAGATTTCTTCAAATCAAAATCTAACTTCAAAATCAATTCAAAAAGAGCACCACAAGGGAACAACTAAAGTTTCCTTTGACAACATATATGCTTGTAAATTTTCAAATGCTATTTTCTACTACTTTTCTCTACACGAGTCGTTTCATTCCTTTGACATTTTTATTTACTTTTCTATTTGTTGCTCCATGAAATCGAACTAAACTTTCTGCCAATAAAAGCAAATAAATCATTTGAAAGCAAAATGAGATTTTTTAATGCCAAGAGATTTAGAATCTGATTGAAGTTGAAATTGAAACTTATACTTTGCAGACAAATATATTGAAAAGAATTTGCTAGAATTTGTCTGACGTTGAATTTATTGAAAAGTTAATAGACTTATTTGTCATGGTTAGTAGCTGGAATTTTATAAAATTTGTAGTTTGATGCCAAAAGAATCCCCAAAAAAATTCTGATATTTAAAAACTATTATAAATAATTGATTATTAAACACTATTGGCCACGATGTCACAACAATTCAATTGCTTAGTACTGTAAACAACCCCAGTTATTTGTCTAAAATGACAATGAAAACTTAACAGCTTGACAAA